GTTCTGCTAAAATACTTAATTGGAGCACAATTCATATCTTATACAGAAAATGTACTTAGTTGTGCTTGAAAGGCATTAGTATTTAAAAAAGGGCATCTTTCACAGGTAAAACTGTAAATTGAAATTCATAATGCAACATGAACCTTTCCATTCCTCATGTATGCGAACATTGTGGTACCTTTTCCATCAGCCATTTTAAATCTACAGTATTTCATCTTTCTCCAAAGTATGCAGCCTAGCTAACTAAATAATGGTGTTACTCATTTTTAAATTTTGACTTTAAAAAGGCAAAAGCTCAGCCTTAATCTCAATTTCTAACCACTCTCTGACTGATGTATGCAGAGAATAGTAGCACATAAATGTTCCCAAAAAAGACAGAAGTGTCTTTAAAGTGGGTGCTGTCACTGACATTTTGGATTTACCTCCTCAATACTGTGGGAAAGGCAAGACGGAGGTGCACAACAGAAAAATAACTGGGTCTGTGTGTATGTGTGTATGTGTGGGGGGGGGGGGCACTCAGGGGGGGGGCACTCTCGGGGGGGGACTACATCAAAAAAATTTTCTCTGATTATAACATGGGTGAGCTGATATAAAATGGGTGAACTGTTTATTAGCCAAATAGTTTAAAGAATTATATTTTCATTTTTAAAATCATAGACTAGAAGTAATTTTTAAATATTATCTAGATATTGACTACCACAAAGGAAACAGTGAATAAATATTTAAGGTGTTATGGTATGCAGTTCTACACTGCTCAAAAAAATTAAAGGAACACTTTGAAAACACATCAGATCTCAATGGGTAAAAATATCATGCTGGATATCTATACTGATATGGACTGGGTAATGTGTTAGGAACGTAAGGATGCCCATCGTTTGATGGAAATGAAAATTATCAACCTACAGAGGACTGAATTCAGACAGCCTGAAAATCAAAGTGAAAAAATTATGCAGCAGGCTAGTCCATTTTCATTAATTTAATTGCAGCAACTCAAAATGGTACTCAGTAGTTTGTGTGGCCCCCACATGCTTGTATGCATGCCTGACAACGTCGGGGCATGCTCTTAAAGAGATGATGGATGGTGTCCTGCAGTATTTCCTCTCAGATCTTGACAAGGGCATCTATCACATATGCTCAGGGTGAACCTGTTCTCATCTGTGAAAAGCACAGGGTGCCAGTGGTGGACCTGCCAATTCGGGTGTTCAATGGCAAATGCTAATAGGGCTCTATAGTGCTGGGCATTAAGCACAGGGCCCACTTGAGGATGTTGGGCACTCAGGCCACCCTCATGAAGTCTGTTTTCTGATTGTTTGGTCAGACACATTCACACCAGTGGCCTGCTGGAGGAAATTTTGTAGGGCTCAGACAGTGCTCATCCTGTTCCTCCTTGCACAAAGGAGCAGATACCAGTTCTTCTGATGGGTTAAGGACCTTCTATGGCCCTGTCCAGCTCTCCTAGAGCAATTGCTTGTCTCCTGGAATCTCCTCCATGTGCTTGAGACTGTGCTGGGAGACACAGCAAACCTTCTAGCAATGGTACGTATTGATGTGCCATCCTGGAGGAGTTGGACTGCCTTTGCAACCTCTGTAGGGTCCAGGTATCACCTCATGCTACCAATAGTGACACTGACCCTAGCCAAATGCAAAACAAGTGAAAAACAGTCAGAAAAGATGAGTAGGGAAATAAATGTCAGTGGCCTCCACCTGTAAAACCATTCCTGTTTTGGTGGACATCTCACTGTTGCCCATCTAGTGCACTTGTTTTTAATTTCATTAACACCAAAGTAGCTGAAACTGATTAACAACCCCCACTGTACTTAACTGACCAAATCAATATTCCATTAGTTTAATTGACTTGATGCTATACTCTGATTAAAAAGTGTTCCTTTAATTTTTTTGAGCAGTGTACAGTATGTTAAATAGGATCAGTTGATATATAGTTTATTCTTGTCTATGTTCAAGAGGGCCAGTTGTGTAATAAACAGTGTTTTTTTTATTACATAGGATACTGTAATGAGCAGGATTCCCTGCTCATTATTTCTCCTGCTAATTGCTTGGCTGCCATAATGAGCAATGGCCATAATATTTTCACTTGACCCAGAGCAAACATGCAACAAGCAATCTCATAGCAGAGTCTTAAAGAGAGTCTGCCATGACACAAACAAATTGGCTGCAGGTATAACATGCAGTCATTATCACTTTCTGATATCACTGATACTTTTTTGGGCCATTCCTATTGGTCATTGATGCAGCCCAGCATAGTAGAAAAACTATAGGTGTGGGGGCAGGGCTTAATCACAAGCTCTTCTTTTGGTTTACAATTTTCTGTAAAATGCAATACAATATGGCTACCTGGAGGTATTCTGTACACAGAAATTTCATTCCCTGCTTTTGCGATTGGCTTATTGATTTTCTCAGAAGTCTGCACTAAGGTACAAGTCAGATTTTGAGCATCCCTTGCAACAGAAATGTCATTTTTGGTGCAATACTCCCAAAGGAAAATCATATCCTACCCTAGGTTCATACCTAAGCATTTGCTGCCACGTTTTGCATTTTGCATTTTTTTTTATGCAAAACGTTGCGTTTTTGGTTTTATAGACTTCAATGGGAACACTGCAGAATAGCATGTATTGCGTTTCTGCTGCATTTTTTATGCGTTTTGCATTTTAACCTCTTGCCGGCCGGCCAATGGCCGAATGGTGGCTGGCAAAATCCCTCAGCGTTCCGGGTAGACGTCATATGGCATCCTCCCGGGCATGCGCAGTTTGCGGGCCTGCAGAACCATGCAGCGGCGCGATCTGTCACCGGCCGTGTACCTCGGACACGGCCGATGACAGATCTGAGTACCGGCCCCGTTGACGGTACCATGTGACCTGCGGTGACCAATCACAGCAGACCACATGGCAGTTGTATACAATGGATGGCTTCATTCATGCCATCCATTGTATACTAGTGTGTCTAGCTGTGAATGGTCACAGCGATCACATGCACAAGCTGGGCCAATCACAGCCCAGCTGTGTCATGTGATTAGCCGTGGCCAAATCACAGCTAAGCACAAAAAAAAAAAAAAAAAAAAAAAAAAAGCCCTGAATGAATCGATGTCATTCAGGTAATTGCTTACTTATAGCAAAGTAATTCTTTGCTATAAGCAAATTGTGTAAAAAAAAAATACTGATCACTTCCCCAAAGTAGTACAATGTTACTATGGTAACATTGTACTACTTTGGTCAAAGTGAAATATGAAAATAAATCTTAAAAAAAAGAAACAAAATGTAATAAAAAATTAAAAATAATTAAAAAAATAAAAAAAAAATAGTATTTTTTTTTTCATACTATCACTAGTCAGTGTCCCTGATCACTGCCATGCCAGTTATATGATGACGCTGTACTGCACTGGTGACAGTATGTAAAAACAAATTGTGAAAATAATTTTTTTAATTTTTTCATTTTCTGAAAAATTATGACAAAAAAAATACAACTTCAAAAAACATGCCTCTTATGAAGTACGTCGGACTGTCTACTCTGCAAAAAGGGGTCATTTGGGGGATATCTGTACTGTTCTGACATTCTTGGACCTCAAGAAATTAGATTGGCCGTCAGTACTTTAGGATTGATCAATTTTCAGATCTATACCATAGTTTGTGAACTCTATTACTTTCCTACAAATTAAAAATACATCCTAATTTGGATTATTTTTTACCAAAGACATGTAGCAGAATACATCTCGGCCTAAATTTATGAAGAACAATTATTTATTTGCAAACTTTTATAACAGAAACAAAGAAAAATTTGTTAAAAAATTTCGGTCTTTTTTTGTTAATTTAGCAAAAAATAAAAACCCCAGTGGTGATTAAATACCACCAAAAGAAAGCTCTAGTTGTGTGAAGAAAATGATAAAATTTTAGTTTGGGTACAGTGTTGTATGACCGCGCAATTGTCATTCAAAGTGTAAGAGCATCGAAACCTGAAAAATCGTCTGGGAAGGAAGGGGGTAAAAGTGCCCTGTATGGAAATGGTTAAATCTGCCTAACAACAAGAAAAATTTAAATAATGCAAAACATATCAAAAACGCAAGTGCAAAAACGCAACACAAAACACAACTCAGAAATGCCTCAAATGCACCCTGCATAGGTGTGAACCTAGACTAAAGGGACACAGACCTTGCCAATATTCTCATTAGAGCCCTATGGGTGCAGCAGTCAATTTATAATTACGAAACCACTCCTATTCGCCTTCACTTTGCGCATGGCCACAGACCAATACCAGTTTCATCAGAATAGAAAAGGTAGGCTCTGCAACAAAGTTTGGTGAAATCCATGCAATGCGCATAGATTAACCAGAGGGTAATGTTTTTTTCTCCACAAAATTGGAGTTACTCTTTAACCACTTGCCTACCAGGCACTTATACCCCCTTATTTACCAGGCCAATTTTCAGCTTTCAGCGCTGCCGCACTTTGATTGACAATTGCGCGGTCATGCAACATTGTACCCATATGAAATTTTGATCATTTTTTTCTCACAAATAGAGCTTTCTTTTGGTGGTATTTAATTGCCACTGGGCACTTTACTTTTTGCGCTATAAATAAAAAAAAAAATGCAAAAAATTTGAAAAAAAAAGTTTCTTTGTTTCTATTATAAAATTTTTCAAACAGGTATTTTTTCTGCTTCACTGATGTGCGTTGATGAGGCAGCACTGATGGGCACTGATGGGCACTGATAGGCGGCACTGATGGGCACTGATAGGCAGCACTAAAGGGCACTGATAGGCAGTACTAATGAGGTGGCACGGATAGGCGGCACTGATAGGCAGCACTAATGAGGTGTCACGGATAGGCGGCACTGATAGGCGGCACTGATAGGTGACACTGATGATGGGTACTGATAGACGGCACTGACTGGCATCACTGCTGGGCACTGACTGGCGGCACTGACTGGCACAACCGCTGGGCACTGACTGGTGGCACTGACTGGCAGCACTGCTGGGCTGCACTGGTGGGTGGCACTGGTGGGCAGCACTGGTGGGTGGGCACAGGTGGGTGGCACTGGTGGGCACAAGTGGGTGGCACTGCTGGGCACAGGTAGGTGGCACTTCTGGGCACAGGTGTGTGACACTGCAGAGTGGCACAGGTGGGTGCACTGCTGGGCACAGGTGGGTGATCTGCTGGGCACAGGTGGGCGGAGCTAGTAGGCGCACTGCTGGGCACAGGTGGGCGGAACTTGTGGGTGGCACTGCTGGGCACTGATCATCAGGGCACTGATCATCAGTGCCCTGATGATCGGTGCCGATCCTCGCTCTGACAACTGCCGGTTCTCGGCAGTACTTTCCTCACGATCTGACAGCATGAGGAAAGTGCAGCCGAGAACCGGCACTTGCATTTCCCTGTGATCAGCGTGTCATTGGACACCGCTGATCACGTGGTAAAAGGCCGCTGTGATTGGCCTTTTACCACATCACGTGATCAGCTGTGTCCGTAGGACACAGCAATCATGGAGATCGCCGGGTGCGCGCCCCCTAGGGCGCGCAGGAGAGCGCGTTCTGGGAGGACGTCATATGACGTCCACCCAGAACTGGCCGGCCGCAGTGCAGCCGTCATTCGGCTATCTGCGGTCGGCAACTAGTTAAATACTAGTTCCACCTTTGTTAAAAAAAACAAACATCCTCTCTGGATGATTAATGTACAGTGAAATGATTTTTAGCAAACTTTGTTGCAGATTCCTATCTGTTTTTGCTCTAAAGGAATGTTAGCCAATGTCCTGTAAGCAGTGATTCTGACTGGAAGTGACTAATTCACTTTAATTAGCTGATGCACTTTGAGTGTTATGATGAGTAAAGTTGCAATGTCTGCATCCCTTTAGAAGTAATTAACCCTTAGGCTGCAGTCCCTCATGGACGTTCTTAATCACAGCCAGAAATCTCAGCGATGCTGCCCGCGATTTCAAAACACTCTGCTAAAATGATAAGTTTCGGAACTGCGGATTCAAGTGCTATCCATTTTAATGGCACCTAAAAATGTGGTGCGGCTCTGCCGTGATTGTCACGTGATAAATTGCTCTGCAATTTTGGCAAACTACATCACGTGAAGCATGTTGCCTAAACGGAGCTCCTGAAATTCTTTTGGGCGAAAGGCTTTGCGCAATGTGGTTTGCTGCAACTGCAGTGTGATTCATTGCATGGCAGTCGTGGCAGAACTGCACCACGTTTTCAGGTACCATTAACAGGCATAGCACCTGAATATGCAGTTCTGTAATTTGTAATTTTTATCAGAGCATTTTGAAATCGTTATTCTGCCCGCAGTTCAAAGCGCCCAGGTGTGAATGCAGCCTAAGGGAGTATCTCACTAAAAATGAAATGCTTGTTGTAGAGGATGCCTCATATCTGACTTGTATCTTTGTGCAGACTACTTCACCTAAGCAGGAAAAGACATTTTTGGAGGCGTTCTGCACACAAAAAGTGTACAGAATGCTTCCAGGTTGCCATGTTGGTTTGAATTTTACAGAAGATTACAGTTCTGCAGTTTAAAATGAAAGACAATTTTTATTAACACTAAATTATGTTATGGCTTGTTTAGCAATTGTATATATTATATTATTTTTTTATTTGCTATATTTTTTTCCTGAAAGTGGAGTTACCCTTTAAAACAGCCAATGGGACACCGTTGCTGTTCTTAGTACATGTTTTAAGTGAGGCTGAAAGTGAACCCTGCCAAAACTAAAGTATTAGTTCACAGTTCTTTTTGATAGAATATTACCTGCAGGCTGAGTGTTTCTAAAGTGTTCTCATCCATTGTAGATCAGTCAAGGACAAGAATGCAATTTATCAAGAGCCAAAGGGTGATTCAACTGAGGAAAAAGCTTTGTCCTTAGAGTTACTTTGTGCTTGTTATGGGGAAATAATCCATGCTATAGTGAGGGATTTTCATGTGCGCTTTGGTGACCCGGAGACTCAAGTCTGGGGCAGAGTAATATGGGATGATGTCACAAGCCAAGGCAGAGAAACTTGTAGAAAGTATAATGTTAATCAGGTCTTGGGCACATAGCAAAAGCCATTAGTCAACATAAACCTAAAGAAGAGAAAAAAGCAAAAGCGTTACATAGAAAGAGATAAAGGTTATGACGGAATAGATAACTGGACCTTGAATTTTTCACAAAGGTTAAGTTGGCTTTCTGTATTTCTGCAGGGGTTAAATGAATAGAATAACTGGATTTGCAGATATATTTAGACCAAAAAATTACATTTTGCTGCAGTATTTAGAAACTGACCACTGTAAATGCTAAGTCTACATAAATTAACTTATATAACCAAACCAGATAATGGAAAAAATGTGTTACATATTTGTATGGACTTTTTAAGGCAGGGGTGTCATCTCCATTTCTTTGCGGGCTGTATCTGCATTATGGTTGCCCTCAAAGGGCTGTTGTATCTGTAAGACTACATGTCCAGAGCACCCCCCCATTACATCAGATGTCAAGAAACCCACACCCTCCCTAACATCACCGTGCACACCCTTTCGGGGCAGAGCTGGAAAGCAGAAAGTGCAGAGTCTGGAGAAGGACCAGAGGAGGAGTGAAGTAAGTTACCAGTGTCTGCTGAATGCTGAGACCAGGGGAGGCAGAGATGAGGGGGGTGCTGGAGCTGCACTGAGAGGTGCAGTATTTGGCAGAGGAGTTCTATTCTCCTCTCTGCTGCCAACTGCTGAGACAAGGTGGGGGCAGAGTCAAGGGGGTACCTGCAGGAGAGGTGCAAGGGCCATATGAAATGGCCTGGAGAGCCAGATTTGGCCCACAGGCCTTATGTTTGACATCTGTGTAGTAAGGGGTTAATGCAATAAAATTGTAGAGAGGCTTTTGCTGTGGAACATCTATGTAGAGATAGATAGATGGATAGATAGATAGATAGATAGATAGATAGATAGATAGATAGATAGATAGATAGACCATTTTCTAATACCAGAATTCACAACCGTTGTTAATGGCAGTTTGTGTTGTGTAGATTGGATATTCCTTATTCTTCTCTCTTGAGGATCCCTACATCTCCTGTCAGTGACACATAGGATTCAATCTTAAGCATGACAAGAACAGTCTAAATGCTGGCCTGTAATGCCTTTTTCATACTGTAAGTACAAAACACATCAAATGGAATAAATAACTTCATAACCCCTTCAATACCGGGCACTTTCACTCCCTTTCTGCCCAGGCCAATTTTCAGCTTTCAGCCCTGCCACACTTTGAATGATAATTGCGTAGTCATGCAACGCTGTACCCAAACTAAATTTTTATCATTTGTTCACACAAATAGAGCTTTCTTTTGGTGGTATTTAACCACCACTGGGATTTCTTTTTTTGCTTAATAAACGAAAAAAGACCAAAGATTTAAAAAAAAAAATGTTTTTCTTTGTTTCAAAATTTTGCAAATAAGTAATCTTTCTTCATAAATGTAGGCCAACATATATTCTGCTACATGTTTTTTGTAAAAAAATAACCCAAATCAGTGTATATTATTTAGTCTGTAGGAAAGTAATAGAGTCCACAAACTATGGGATAAACAGTATATCTGAAAATCGATCAATCCTGGTGTACTGATGGCCAATCTAATTTTTTGAGGCCTGAAAACACCATGACAATACAAATATTCCACAAATGACCTCTTGGAAAGTAAACAGTCTAAGGTATTTAGTAAGAAGCATAGAGAATTTTTGAAGTTGTAATTTTTGTCACAATTTATTGGAAAATGAAGAAATTTTAAAAAAATTGTTTTTTTCGCATATTTTTTGTGGTGGTTATCAGGGACATCAACTGGTGACAGTATGTAAAAAAAAACCAAAACAAAACAAAAAAAAATTTTTTTTTTCTTTTTTTTTAAAATTTTCTATGTTTTCTATTTTTTATTATATTTATTCTTTGTTTTTTTTTTACTACTTTTTTACATACTGTTACCAGAGCAATACAGTCTTACCATAGTAACATTGTACTACTATGGAGAGGTGATCAGGATTTTTTTTTTTACACATTATAATTGCTTATAACAGTGAATTTCAGTTATAAGTTATAAACAATCATTTTTACTGAATGAAATCAATTCATTCAATGTGTTTAGCTGTGATTGGCCAGAGCTAATCACATGGCACAGATGGGCTGTGATTGGTTTTGTCTGTACCATGTGGTCACCATGACCAATCACAGCGAGCAGCACAATAGTACACAATGGATGGCATGAATAAAAGCCATCCGTTGTGTACAATTGGCCACAGCGATCACTTGGGTACCCGGCAGCGGGTGGTACAGTGATTTGTCATCAGCTGTATCCAGTGGACCCATGGAGCCTGCGCAAGTGCATTCTGGGGAGGATGTCATATGATGTCCACCCAGAATGAGAGAGCTCACGCCGCCGTAATTTGTTTATACGCCAGGCAGGAACTAGTTAAAAGCCTATACTTTTCAATAAGTAAATGATAATAACCCAAAACCTATATATATATATATATATATACATTTTATTTCATGATTAAAGAGTAGAGTGGGAAACTGCTGCAGCAAGGGAAGCAACAAAGGAGGTGCTTATACCTACAGCAGCCTCCCACACCTTCCTGTCAAGGTTAAAAAGTAACTCCATTTTTGTTGAGGGAAAAACATTTCCCTCTGGGTGCTCAATGTACATTGCAAGAATTTTAACACATTTTGTTGCAGAGTCCTACTTTGTGTTATTCTGAAGAAATAGCTGTTTGTCTATGTCCATGTGCAGAGCAAATCTGTATGGGAGTGATTGTATAATTGTCAATCAGCTGCCGCATCTGCAGGGCTCTAATGAGGAAATTGGCAGGGTCTGCATCACTTTTGATGTAATTTCCCTTTGAGCATAGCTCACCAAAAATAACAGGGGGTGGCAGGGGATGCCCAAAATCTGACTTGACATTTTAGTGCAAACTTCTGGGAAATTCAATGAGCCAATCACACAAGCAGAAAATTAAATTTCTGGTGGGCATTCTATACACCATCTGTCAGCCATATTGCATTACATTTCATAGAAAATTACAGCACTGCGGTAATTTTTAACAACATCCAATTACAATATGACTTGTGTAGTAGTTGTATACGCTATATTATTATTTTTTTAATTTGCTATTTTTCCCTATGAAAATGGAGCTACCATCTAAATGTTGGGCTCTGATCACAAACAAACCCCTTCGGGGTAATGGCAGAACTTTTCTCTGAGACCACCCCACACTTTTCTATTGATCCAGAATGAATATGGGCATCTTCTCTGGCATGTGCAAAAAATGGGATATGGGAGCAGCTTTGGCACTATAAAGATGTGCCAAAGTTTTGCCTCTAAGACCACCCCACACATTTCTATTAACCCATCACTACTATGAAAAA